CGGGACCAATTCAATAAGAGCCTTTATAAACTGCTTCATATCTGTTGTAGCCATCGTCACTATAGCTGTTACTGTAGTCATTACTGGACTGCTGCTCCCACCCACCCCCCTCTTTTTCATCGTATCGATTTACTCTTTACTGAGAGAGCTTTCTTGACATCTGCCCTGTTAGAGCAGATGTGTGATGGAGCTTGGTAAAGGATAGTCTTATCAGTAGAGGGGTTGTAGTCATCAATAGTCAAGAAGTCATATCCACGTGATTGGCTTGTCCCCTTTCAAGCTCAGATGGATCATATCTCAGCGTAACTGTGTCATTCTTTGAGCTTGACGGCTTATAATTGTGAAGCTATTATTGATCTCCACCCCCACCCGCCTACAAGACAACCTCTTCAATACATTAACTCCATCCTTCTCTATGACTCTGAAACATGACCAATACGAGTTGAAGACATGAAAAGGTTGACTGTTTTTGATCATAGATGTCTACGATCTCTTTCTCACGTTAGGTGGTATAATAAGGTAAGTAATATTGACGTTAGGCGTAGGGTGTTGGGCAAAGAGGGAAAATCAATCGACGAGGCTATAAAAATACATAGATTGAGATGGCTAGGTGACGTGCTGCGCATGCCTAACCATCGCCTCCCCCGATGGACGGGCATTACTAGCTGATATAGGTGCAGGTTGGAAAAGAGTAAATGGCGGCCAGACAAAAACATGGCATCAATCCATGAAATCCTTGACAGTTAAACTGAGTCAGGTAGGGAGATGCAGACTTTCAGGTTGGGGCCTTCGGGACTCTAAGAATCAATGGCTTGAGACAATAGGTGACATGGCTTAAAATCGTTGTCAATGGCTTACGCAGATGTATTCAGTCTCTGTAATCTTTCATATTCCTTTCTACCATTACTCATTCTGTTTCACTCTTATACTTGTCGAAACTCTATTGATTCTCTTCTCTCATCTTCTTGTCTACCTTTGTATGCTACTTGGAACGTGGCAACTGGAACTGCTGCACTTCGGTGCCAAGTTCTATGTTGAATCCAGACAGACAGACAGACCGATATGAAGTTAGCTTTTAGAATTCTATTTATTTCCTGATGAACTTCAACTGTGATTGGTTGTTTTACGAAGACAAAGACAGTTTGGAGATCCGCACTCAGCATAAAGAATAAAATTCGGATTTTCAACACCCAACGTTAAGTCAGCCAGTTCTTCTATATCAGTCAAAAACTTGGCACACGCGTCTCGAGAAGTATTCCCAGCAGGCTACGACAGACTTTATCAACAAATGCCCTGACTCCATATTGAAGATCAAATGGCCAGAAAGAATCAGCAACAAGAAACTGGGGGGAGGGGTGGACAACGAACAATCTGTTGTTCTATAAGAATGGAGAAGAAAATGGAGGATGGATCATAAACACGCTGAGGAGACTGTCGGTTAGGCTAGGCGTCGAGTGGAACCCAAATGGTAGACAACGAGTTGGGTGTGGGTCCGAGGGTGACATGGAGGAGGTCGTGTGAGTTGGAGGAGATGAGAGCCTATAGGGAGTCGTGAGGGCAGCTAAAGAGGACTGCAGAGAATAGAACAAAGTGGAGGTGTGTTGTTGAAGCCTCATTTCGCATATCTCTGTTGCATTCCCTCCTCTGATATTACTTTCAGCTAACTCTAAGTGTGGGGGGGGCTACATGATCGTCTCCATGTCCCTCTCTTGAACTACAATTCGAGTTGAACTCGACAGCATGCAGTGTGATGTCACTCACTAGTTTACGCTGAGTTTGTTCAATTCATTTCCATTTTCTTCTACATGTTTGTTTGCGAATGGTTCTTGGCTGGTTTGCTGCTTAGCCTTTCTGACTATTTTATCTTCACAATCGAATGAAGGCAGGTGTTCATGAAAGTTTTAGTAACGCGTCAGGTCTTGGAACCATACATACAGAAACATTGACTTGGTATTCTTGTTGAAAGCTCAAATCTTGTTCTTTTTGTTTTTGACTACTCTACATATTCACACTGTTTTCAGAATGATAAACGCCCGCTTTACTTCCCAGATCTGATCCCGACTGCCTTTGATATCGTCCCCCATATCTGTAGCTGTAGTTGAAACGATACTGCCTATTTGAGTTCACGTGACATGAGACATAAATAATCCGAGAAATAGAGATCTTGTAAGGTATATACTACATGAAGATGAGTAGGTCCGTAACACGCTTAACTCTTTCGATCTACTATCTGTAGTAATCTATCCAGCGGTCTACAACAAAATTTCGACGAGATTCTCTTAATGTGTGTACTGTACTGTACTTTGTTCTAAATTCAACTTATTTTCTTCTGAATTGATAATTTGTACCTTGCCAAGGACAAAGGTCATCTCCCAGTTAACTCAGACTTTCATACTACTTTAAGCAACAACAAAAGATGAAACAAACAAACCTACTGTTTTCATTCACACGTTTCCTAGCTTACTGTAACATACCGAAATATATACTATCGATTTAATCTAGGACACTAGGTCATTTAGTATTTATTTTTAGAAATCAATAATTCATATACAGCAAAAAATCGATATATATATGTATGCATGCGAGTGGACCAATGATTGAGTAGTAGTAGATAATGTGTAGGCGTTCACTGTACACTGATTGGATGCCTAATTAGCACATTAACGATGATAATAATATGTTTAGTGGAAACACTAAACAGGCATTATTATTATTATTATTACTATTACCATTAATTTTAAAGTGTCAGTTTGTAGGGATTTGTTTGGTTTCAAGTTTTGATTAGGGATTGATATGAGTTGAAGAACCATTGAAGACCACTCGGGAGTACTTGCTAGGCAGGTGTTTCGTCCTAGCTTAGGACTCTTCAGTAGTACTCGCCCTTGAATACACAACCAAGGGTCGAACTCAGGAGCTTAAGGTTACGAGCCAAGCTCAACTGCGAACCGATGTCATCTGCCTGAAACTAATTAAATCCCTACAAACTCACACTGGTAAACCAATTTATACTCACTAGTTACTGACTGACTGACTGACTGACCACGAGACGAAGTTGCCTAGAGTTCTAGTGAGAAGTCGGAACTTGCGGGGTCCACCAGGTCGGGTGTGAGGAGAAGTACTCACTGATGGTATTGTCTGGTGGTGGCGCTGATAATGGCGAATTATTATTGTGAAAATATTCATTCAAACATCTATAAAAAACAAAATAATTGTTATTGTATGAAGTGAAGAACTTTCAAAAACTTGAAGTAGTTTTTAGTTTTATTCTGTTACGTAATTTCCGCTTGAAAGGTGGGCGTGTGTGTGTTTATGTATAGTAAATGAGACCAGTTTATGCGTGATGAAAGTCATAATAACAAACATGTGCCCATCCACGAGGTTCTTAATGGTGTATGTACTGTATGTTGGTTTGTATGTGTGTGTCTATTGTCTAGCTGGCGGTTGTGTAGTGTGTACTACTACTAACAAGAACTTCTAAGTAGTATATTGGCGATGTCTTCTGCACCAGTTGTACACGAACTGTCATAGGCAGGTTTCACTTGACTTCTCAACAGGGGGTACCAAAGACGATCAGTTTCATCTTCTGCTCTTGCACACCGACCAGCTTCGTAGTCCATCAGAAACGCCCTTACTTCTCCCTCTTCAAAAACGTGTGCCTATAGCACCTTCATCTCTGTTACTGGTATTTGACAAAATAATGTTGTACGGTGACAGCAAAATATGAAAGTTATTCATATTCTGCTTGATTTGTCTGCATGCTTCATAATTTCTGTATACTGCTTCACAGTAATCTTTATTTTTCCTCTTTACAGCTTAATCCATCTTTTTACGATTTGATCACGGATTGATATCAGTTAGTGACTTGCTACAGGACGGAGTTCCCTGGAGTTCTAGTGAGAAGTCGTGACCAGTGAGGTCCATCCAGTCAAATGTGAGGATGGATGTCCCACAAACGACATTGGTTGGGGTCGCACTAAATCACGAATTGGTAGAAGTTAGAATTCATGGGCTGGCCATTGAATCGGGTTCCAGTGGCTGAATGGTATACGAGCCAGCTTGCCTTGTAACCAGAAGGTCCTGGGTTCGAACCCTAGCGGTGGGTGCGTACTGCCAATGATTCCCAAACTAGGATGAAACAGCTGTCCAGTACTCCCAGCTGGTTTCCAATGGTTCTCTAACTGATATCAGCTCATGATTAAATCCTATAATCGTCTGTTACACATAACTGAGGCTGTTGAAATAAGATCGACTAAACCGGAACTTTGTATTCAAAGAAAGGAACACGTCCAGACATTGTTTCTACCGTGGCCAAATTTGGATTAATGACTCTCCTTCTCACCAAGAGTGCTTCTTCCTCTTAACACTCTTGGTTTTTTTTCTTTTTTTGCTTATTATTACAATTATTATTATTCGTCATAATTTATGCCCTTCATGCAAACATTCTCTCAATACTATCGAATTTTCCATTTATACTATCCGGACTTATTATTAGTTATATTATCTCTTTTCTCAATATATGCCTCTACCTGTTTCATTTCACATATTCGTTATTTCATTATGAACCTCTCATTGCAGTCTTACTGTCTCCTGTTTAATACAGACCACTTTGTACTAGCCACTCACCTGACACCTTTTATAACCTTGAACTGACTTGTCAGTTTTCCTACCCCACACTCTCTATTATGATTAATCACCACCATTGTCTCCCGTTTTACAATATTTTGTAATCGATTTCAGTCTAACACGACGTTTGTCACACAAATACGACTATTTATTTTGACACCCCATAAGTAATCTGTTATTCTACGTTAAAAATGTATCCGCCGCATAACTGGCTATCATTATTGTAACGACAACAAATATTATATTTTATAATTGTAAGAACCTGAAGAGGAGAAATTATTGAAAAGGATATTCTTCGTTCAGATTGACTTTTAATTCAATCTAAAGTAGTTTGTAATAGAAATTAAGCTTCATTTGTGTTCTTTTTTGTTGCTTAGATGTTGACTATCCGACGAGTTCATCAGTCAAAGAGACGAATTCTTCGTCACAACAACAACACCAACAACATGAAGAAGAGGAAGAACAACCACAACCATCAACATCTTATGGTAAACTTGGTGAATTAATGTCTATCTTTCCTAATCTGAAATCAAACATACTAGCAGAATTTTTATCTCTTGCACATGATGATGTTTCATGGGCAACAACATTAATACTGGATAATCGTACTACCGAAAGAGTCAATCAACGTGAAGACGGTGAAACAAATCAATGTATGGTCGAAGGCAAAATATCCTCTGATGAACAGTTATCGCTAACGTATCCATCAACATCTTCGCTACATACTACTACCACTGTCTGTTCTCCACCCACTACCAATGACATGGATAGTACTGCGACTAATGAAGCATGTTCCATTCGGCAAGAAGATAATCCTATTGATTTTCCGTTGGTTAGTCAACCATCTTGTCAAGAAGACAATCATTCGTCAAGTTTTAATCACTGTGGGATTAAGCTGTCAAGAGGTTTTTTAAAATCTGCTCATGAAGAATATGCCTTTAGTCTTGGATTATCTCATGTTGATCTGTGTAAGTTTATATAATTTTATTATTATTATTATTCCCTAGGGTTCTGAGTGGAACATAAGAACTTCAGATGTAGATATGTCTATGGCACTCTGTGCACTGCAGTCTTTTTTTAATTGGATAAAACTATATATTACTGATTGGTGGAGATGAGTAGTAGAAGTAGTTGTTGTATACCACTCATATCAACCGGTACTGCTTGCTAATCTAAACAACACCTGACAGCCGTTTCACTCGTTTGGGGCTGAGTTCATCTGTTAGCGGTGTTTCAAACCACCCGAAATTTGGCTAGCTACTTGGGTGGTGAACTGGTCATACCATTGTAACAACAGAAGACAAGGGCCAGGCAACAGATCGTTTATTAAGGAAATCAACACATATTTATAGATTTTCATGTACATTATTATAGATAATTGTAAGCAAACAAACACAGTCTTCTGATTGGTGGTTTCTCGCTGAAAGTTAATCTTCCATCTCTTTGTGGCTGTTTTTTGAATGTCAGATTATTTATATGCTAACTGTATCCGCCTACGCAAAGTCTTTGTTCATATTTTTCTCACGGCTTATATTGGGGACATAACCATTGACGTAAATTACTGTCTATCAATGGAACTCACACTAATTCCATCGAAAATTTTTCGAGTTACCTCAAAAAACGGATCAGATCTGTGAATGGATCAAGAAATGCAATGATGTACAGTTATCTCGATGAGTTTATGTACAGGGCTCGGTTTAACATAACTATGAAGACTCCTATGAGAAATTGGGAGGTGTTTTTGGAACATATACGAGAATGTTATCGTTTGTAACAATTTTTAAACATTGCATTACATTTATATAAACTTTGATAGTGTGGAAAATTCCCATATTATGAATCAAAAGTCAATCTGAACGAAGAATATCCTTTTCAATAATTTCTCTTCAGGTTCTTACAATTATAAAATATAATATTAGTTGTCGTTACATTTTACGTCTCCAATTCAAGGGAGATACTCCTGCGGAGATTCTATCGCAACGTTTAACCAGGGCGATCAAGAAAACTTTCTACTCTGCACGTCTGTGTCTATCCTTCAGTAGCCGTCCAATGTTCACCCAGCAACTCAAAGATGTCTTACCTAACCCTAGCTCTTCTTCATGCATATACCATTTCAGCTGTTCCTGTGGTTCAAGTTATATAGGGCGCACGATTAGGCAGGTTCGTCTACGGGTTCCAGAACATTTACCAGCTTGATTCAGCAGGGGGGAAATTAAGTGCATAAAAAAGCGCCCGATCCTGTCACACTTGGTCGATACTGGATATCGCATCGATGTCAACACAGCTTTCAGGGTTAGATACCATATTTCCGAAGTCGTTATCACGTACAGTTCGCTTACGTCTTCTACACATAGCTGAAGCTGTTGCAATAAGATCGACTAAACCGGAACTTTGTATCCAAAATGAACACATCCAGACGCTGTTCCTACCGTAGCCAAACTTGGATTGATGATTCTTCTTCTCACCAAGAGTGCTCCTTCCCCTTAACCCTCTTGACTTTTTTTCTTTCTTTCCTTTGCTTATTATTACAATTATTATTATTATTAATATTATTATTCGTCATAATTTATGCCCTTCATGCAAACATTCTCTCAGTACGATTGGATTTTTCATTTTTACTATCCGAACTTATTATTAATGATAATATCTCTTTTCTCAATATATGCCTCCACCTGTTTCATTTCACACATTCGTTATTTCATGATGAACCTCTCATTGCAGTCTAACTAGCTCCTGTTTAATACATACCACTTTGTACTAGCCACTCCACTCACCTGACACCTTTTATAACCTTGAACTGACTTGTCAATTTTCCTACCCCACACTCTTCAGATCTTTCATGATTAATCACCATTGTCTCCCGTTTTACAATATTTTGTAATCGATTTCAGCCTAGCATGTTTGTCACACAAATACGACTATTTATTTTGACACCCCATAACTAATCTTTTATTCTACGTTAAAAATGTATCCACCGCATTACTGGCTATCATTATTGTAACGACAACAAATATTATATTTTATAATTGTAAGAACCAGAAGAGGAGAAATTATTGAAAGGATATTCTTCGTTCAGATTGACTTTTAATTTATATCAACGTTTTATTGAAATTATGCGCCGTTTCTATATAAAGGCTTCTGATTGGTCAAAGTTGTCGTTGTCAAGGTCATTTATCCGTTCGCTAGGTAGTTTTAGTTTGGGCTGCTATAGTTTAGAGTCACCGAATCTTGCTCCAGTACTCCTCCAAGATGTTCTTCCTCCATTTCTTTCGAAAAATCCCAAGCGGTAGGCAGAAACTTATTTGAAATTACGCGCGACTACAAATTCTGTTTTATTCTGGTCATTAGGTCATTAAAACAATTTAAAACGGAGTAAACACGACAGAGAATTTAGGTAGCCTGGTGATTTCAACAGAAACTAGTGTACATTTTTGTAAAGACTTTTTTTCGATGTTCTTTTTTTTTTCAATTTTTCAATATAGCTCCTGAAGCTGTTCCAGATTTCCTTATCAATGAATGGATACCTGAACCTAATTTGACTAAGGAGATTTATATTAGTATTATGCGACATTTAGGTGTCCTAGTGAATAATAATTCAACAGGAAATAATACACTGACGCCAACATTTTTATCAACATCAAATACACGAAATACAAATGGTAAGTTCTACTTGACGACTGCTTGTTGCTGCAGATAATATTTTTTTTTGAATCTCGTTTTTTTTGTTGAACTCCTGGTATAAAGGCATAAGATTTCAGCAACACATTGTCATTTCACATTTCATTTTGCATTCTCATGATCTCCTCCATTTCACCCTTGAATTCATGCCAAACTCTTTGCTTCTGACTCGGGTCCCACTTGAAGGTTTGTCTGGCGCGTTATGTCACTGAAAGGTCTTCACAGAGGATATCTAATCCATCCCTTTGTTTTCTTCTGTATATTTGAGTAGCTTGAAAATCCCCATTGAGTCATATGAAAAAGAGAAGACGTTCAGTGAAGCGACTCTTTTCGGCGAATTCATTCACATAGCTGTACAATCGCATTTATATATAATTATTTGTGTGCGTGTGTACATGGGGTTTGTCAAGTTTAGATAATTGATCAGGTAATACCAGAATGATCTGATATAGAAACAAGGTTAATCAGACAGCAACTAAAGTAAGATTGAGTTCGTAAGTTAGATGACGTAATATAATTGACTAAAATGTTTCAACTTAGGTCAGGGTAGCAACAGAGGTAATTACAAAATTTATTGCAAAATCTATGAATCCTAGACCACAAAAGCCGCCCATGCTTAGCGTCCCGAAAAAACTACTCTGCATGAACCTTCAATTCAATGGAGATATATCTGCGGAAACACTAAAAAATCGACTGTCGCGCTCACTTAAGATGACCTTCTTCGCAGCTGAACTACGACTAACCTTCTCCACAAAACCTATGATTCATGTGAACGTGAAGGATAAGCTACCATTGCTGGCCTCATCAATGTGTATTTATCAATTCACCTACTCGTGTGGAGACAGGTATGTCGGCCGTACCCAGCGTTCGCTTTCCAAACGTATCACCGAACACTTACCAACATGGTTTTACAAAGGAGAAAAACGATGCCCCCGCAGCTCCATCTTAGAACATCTAATAGAATCCGGACACCAAGTTAAGCCCCAAACAAACTTCAAAGTCGGTGGATGGTGACTAGCAGTGGAATCCGGGATGCGCATTTCGTCCTATTTGGGACTCGTCACCTGGATGTGCCTGCACTAGTATTATTTTGTCTTCGCAATTGTAATATTTTACATTTTCAACTTTCTTGTTCTCTACCCTCACCCGATTTAATTTCTACACCTCACTACCACTGTTACCGGCTTGACCAATGCTCAATTTCTAGTCATTTATGTAACGTCATCCATTTTGTTTGTTCAATTTCAGTTTTAATTTAAATGTCATTATTCTCTACCCCACTTCCTCTTAGTTTCTACCTGTAATTACCTCTGTTGCTACACTGACCTAAGTTGAAACATTTTAGTCAATTATATTACGTCATCTAACTTACGAACTCAATCTTACTTTAGTTGCTGTCTGATTAACCTTGTTTCTATATTAGATCATTCTTGTATTACCTGATCAATTATCTAAACTTGACAAACCCCATGTACACACGCACACAAATAATTATATATAAATGCGATTGTACAGCTATGTGAATGAATTTGCTGAAAAGAGTCTCTTCGCTGAACGTCTTCTCCTGTATATTTGGTGGGCGACAGGTACTTGGTTATTTCACTTCACCTGTCAGAGTTCTCTCTTGATTATCTTTTCTGATCAGCCATGTGATCTTCAGTATCGAGCGCGGAAGTCAGTTGGAAATGCTATTTCATAACATGCGCACTAATTCCCTGAACCGCGTGGAAGCACTAACTGATAGTGTTGAAAGTTCGGACACCTTTATCCTTGTCTCCTCTAGTTGGAAACGATACTACTTAGGTCAGGTAGGTGAAACAGATGAATTCGTTTAGATTCCTTCCGGTGATGGTGATTGGTAATTGTTTTAATTGGTTAAGTGTATTCATCACCTTTGTCTTCTCTATGTCCACTTGAAGTCCTGTCTTCCCTATCTCTTCTGCCAAGCTTTTCATTGTTATCTGTAGCTCTTCAAGTTTGTGCAACATTGCACATGAGTCATTGGCGAAGTCCAAATCCTCCACTGTCTTTTCGTCTTGGCTATCCTCACAGTCTTTCACTAGATCCACTCCACCACAAGACATTAAAAGCTTTGCAGTTACATTACTATGCAGCTCACATAACACAACTACATTAAGTTTTACCAGTATTGTAAATGTATTCTGCATAAGAGTGATTATGTGTGTATATGATTTTACGCTTAAGTACACATCAGTGGTTCAGCAGTGGAATGCTCGCCAACCAAGCACATGTTCTTCAGGTTCGACTCCTGGCTTAGCCAGCAGTAAGTTTGGTGGATAGGGAAGGTGTGGAGTGTGAAGTTAGCAACCCTAACCCCATAGCTACTGTTGTACCGACAGAAGACAAGGGCCAGGCAACAGATCGTTTATTCAGAAAATCAACACATATTTATAGATTTTTATGTACATTATTATTAGCGCTATTGTTAGCAGAGAAGCAACGTCTTCTGATTGGTTGTTTTCTTGCTCAAGGTTATTCTGTACTGCTTGTGACTGTTTCTTAGAAAGTTAAGCCATATATCTGCGAATGGTATTTGCACACGTTAAGTCTGCTGTGATTGGTTGTTGAGTTCCTCAAGGTTAAGCTTTGTTATTGTTTTTTCTCATGACCCCGATTCGGGACGTAAACATTGACGTAAATTACTGTCTACAGTTTTCGGCTTGCAGCTAGATCTCAGCACACTGTAACTTCTATACTTAAGGTTTGAAACCCATTGTCCCATTCGGAACGTAAAAGGAATATATATATATATATATATTCAAGTTCTTGCTGGGATTCACCAGTTAGCAAGGTGTGAAATTCGAACCCTGATCAAACCATAAATGATGATGCAGTCAGAAACATTACCACTGAGTTATTCTGACTCACTACCGATCTCCTGTAGAACTGTAATGAATACACTGATTGGACATTCGGTAGTAACTAATCTCAGAAGGGGTATGATTTCCTTCTAAATTGTAGACATGTCATACTGACTAACCAGTGTCAAAAAGCACGAAACCTATCTAGCTAGCTAGATCCAACCAGAGCTTCCTTGTTGATTGCCTCCAACCATCGAATAACACCAATTCAGAGTGTAACATGTTGATGATGAGTCAGCCATCTTAGAGCATGCGGGGGGGTGAGACCACATTTCAATTCAGGCTGTACTAAAACACACAGCAAGGACTTGCTTGACGTATGACATAATTAGTTCCTTTCTGCCCCTAGTGTGTTCATTCAATCAAAATATGCATTCAATGGTTTCATGCCATTCTGTCCTTCTGTCTATCGGTTTATCAAATCCACTCAATGTGTAGGCCTGCACAGTTTGATATAAACTATAGAATGAATACTGATAGAAAATCATAGAAAATTGATTTATTTTTATTTTATTGTTCCCTTGGATTCCTAGTGGAACATAGGGCTTCAACTACACGTCTCCACTTGGTTCTGTCTTCTGCTGTACTTTTCACTTGCATCCATGTTAGTCCATACTGTTTCAACTCTTCTTCACACGATCTCCTCCATGTCACCCTTGGACGTCCCACTCGCCACTTCCCTTTCGGATTCCACTCGAGCACTGGCCTGACGCGCGATGTCACCCAGCGGCCTCCTCAGCGAGTGTCCAATCCATCTCCACTTTCTCCTGCATATTTGTTGGGCGTTGTCCATTACTGCTTGTAGTTGTCTGTAGAAGGCCTCCTTCTTCTCTTGTTCTGAGACGTTTGTAGGCGCATATCATTGAATGATTGTAACCTTCCTTCCTTTTGAGTTGAACCTGGCTGTCATTATCCTGGAGGAGATTGGTTCCCACTGCATGAGAGCTTTGACTGCTGTTGGTGACATCATGATGGCCACTCCCTCAGTGTGCTCATGATTGTCCTCTGGGTGACCGGAGTAGATTATTGTCTCTCCAGTTGTTAGTTGGCACCTTCCACATCCATTCCATCTGCTCTCGCAGATTTCCAACACTTCTATTTTATATCTTCTCATTTCTGCGGCTACCTGAGCAGCCTTTCCAGTTTCGTACATTGTACGAATATTCCACTTCCCCATCCTTATTTTTGCTTTCATCGAAAAAAGGCACATCGGCTGACTGGCTTCCCGAAGGCTTTCACCAGTCTGCGTCATTTCACTTCCCCGATTCCAGCGAAAAATAAGGTTATTGTTTATACTTTTAGAATTTTTAATATATTTGTGCGTTGAAGTTTCTGTAGCAATTTGGTTAAGTTTTGGAGGTGGAGTTGCTAGCACCACGCCCCAACCCTCCCTCTTTATCCGGGCTTGGGACTGGCTAGAAAACTAGTGAGCTAGTAATCTAGGCGAGGTTATAGAAAATTGATAGTTAGTTATATCATCACTGTTGCTCATGCTGCTCTCTCTCTATCTTGGTGACAGTCAAACGTAATAATTTTTCTTAAGAAAAAACCAATGAATGAATATTGGTCAGCAGGTTTTGTTTTTGGCAATTGTCATTGGATATTGCTGTGTTGTAGTAAGTAGGTAGGTAGGTAGCTAGGTGGGTGGGTAGATATTATTTAGGTTAAGGTAGCTAGCTAGCTACCCTACCTGCCTTGCCTACCTACCTAACTAGCTAAATCACTTGTTTTTTTATATCGATCAGTTTAAGAGAGAGTGGGTCGATAATTTATTTTATGACGAAATGTGAATACCTACTTACTTGCATTGTTATGTACTTATGATTGTTATTATTATTATTATTTGAAGGTAATTCATTCGGATGTATATACATATTCACAGTATTACCATCGACCAGTGCCTTGTTCAGATGGCACGTATCTGTCTAGTGCTTCTTTGCATATATTTCGACGACTGTGATACAATACAGTATAACTATAATTTAGCCAACCAGACTGCGTGTCATCTATCTGACAATCTGCCTATACAGACATATAAGCTCATAGGCAGGCAGATAGTCAGACCGGCAGGCACCAAAACCATATATATTATGGAGAGTTAAAAACAGATAGAGAATCATTGAGAATACAAATAATAAATAAAATGAACAATTGTGATGACGATATTGAATGATAAGTGAAGTTTTTGATTGGAGACACTCTGTGATATTAGTTACTGCCTAGTAAGTATCCATTAGAGTTCTACAGAGGAGGTCACTCACGAGACTGGGCCGAATAGCTGAGTGGTGGTAACGTCTCTGACTGCAGCACTGGGTGGTGGTGGTGGCTGTAGTGACCCAGGTTCGAATCTCACAATAGATATCGTTAATCCCTTCAAGATGACTGCCAACAAGTATGAAACTGAAGTCCCGGCAAAGTTTTCTGACACTGTCTTAACCATCTACAAATTGAAGTCTGTTCAGTAATAATTGTTAACAGTTTTCCTTCTAACTAGTTGTAGAAATAATGCAGACACGACGCCTAAGGTGGTGGTTAGGTTGGCTGTTGTGTTATATCATCATGTCTACTTTGATCTACAAGGTTAGTTGAAGATTGGATTGGGCACGGGACTTCACCCAAAACGAGATATTGATCAGTCGAGTTATTGACACTTGATCTGAGAAGTGTAGGTTTCTCGAGGTATTTGAGATAATGGAAAACAGGTTTGATCACGAGGTTGATATTAGTTAGCCAACCACTGGAAAACTACTAGAGAGTACTACCAGATGGCTGTTTCGTCCTAATTTGAGACTCTTTAGGGTACATAACGAAAGTCATGGATTGAACCCAGGATCTTCCTGTTACAAGGCGACTTCGTAGGTCATTCATCCACTTAGACCCTACCCAGTGGCCCATAAATTCCAATTTGTACCAATTCGCGCCGCAACCGCCAGCCAATGTTATGAGTTAGAAATTGTCCTCTTACCGCTGGTCTTGATTTGTCAATAGAACTCCATGCTTAGAAACTCTTGATGACATGGAAATAAATTGTTGAATACTGGCGCACATGCATTTTAATCTTAATCAATTTTATAACCATTTTTAAGTATGATTCTCCCTCAAATACTACCATGTGGTAAATCCTTCTTGTGATAATCATAGTGAGGTGTGTGTGTGGGGGGGGGAGGAGGATTAGCTTGGCTAACTTACGGTCTAGAATTTTTGGTTCAGTAGTTCTGTGTAGACTAAGCTCAGGTTATAAGCTTGGACTATGGTGTATTGATCATACCTTCACCCTTCGACAGATTATCGAAGATGGATTTAATTATCTGAAAGCAAAGTGTAACTCCGCTGACAAAACAGCAGTGTGATGTGAAGGGACTCCTGAGAAAGTATATCATACTAAGCAAGGCGTTCCACTCGAACTCATGAAGCCGTATCAAAGCTTATTGAGAGTTGTCCTCTGAAGTGGTGACAACCAGGGGTGTCTGTTATGGATGTCACAGCAATATGCCCTTGATCGATTTCAACGACTTAAGGATCGACTAGTTATCAGGGGTGGAGCAGAGTCGTCAATTTAGAATATGCAGATGATACAATCCTTTTAGGTGAAGACACTGACAAAATATGAAGTCTTCTGAATACCTAGAGCAAACATCTTAGTATGTTTGACATGGGGTTTTCCCCATATGTGAAATATAAGGTTATGTTGCACGATGGATCCTCATTGGCGTGTTGACTTCATTTATTTGTGAAGTTACATCAACCAGCTTACGTTATCTCTGGCGTAGACGTGATATACGACTATCGAACGAACAATGCATGTATTGCACAAGAGTCTGTTATGTCCTTCTCTATGGCTGTGAGATTACTATTATTATTATTGTTTCCTTTAATTCCTAGAGGAACATAGGGCTTCAGCCGCACGTCTCCATTGCGTTCCCTTCTCTGCCAACGTTTTCACCTGGCTGCACGTCTGCCCACATGCTTTCATCTCCTCTTCACATGACCTCCTCCATGTCACTCTCGCACTGACGACCAACTCGCCGCTTCCCATCCAGGTTCCAATACAGTGATGACCTCGCGTGTGATGTCACTCACTTAGTGGTTTGTTTTCTCAGAGTATGGCCAATCCACCTCCATTTCTTCCGGCTTATTTGTTTCACAATCGGTTCCTGGTTGGTTCGCTCATCGCCAGAGATCCCTGTTGCTGATCTTTTCTGGCCATCTGATTTTGAGTATTGAGCGAAGATAGCTGTTGGTGAGTCTGTAGACTGTCCGAAGTGCCCTTCGTGACGCGGCGCGGCGCTAAGTCTCTGATCCGTATAGTGAGTAGCACTGACTTCACAGTGCAGTTGAAAATCCGGATCTTATTTTTCGTTCTGAGTGCTGTTGACCTCCACACAGACTTGAGCGTGATGAAAGCTTGTCTTGTTTTCCCGATCCTTGCTTTGATATCCTCATCAGTCCCTCCTGTAGTTGAAACGATGCTTCCCATGTCGGTAGTTAAAGGAGGTTACTTCTTTCAGATTTCTCGCATTTATGCTGATTGTTGTCTGTTGTTGTTGCTGCTGATAGGCTAGGAATCTTCATCACCTCTGTTTTCTCTATGTTCACCTGAAGTCCTATCTTCTGTGGATGCTTCTTCTGCCAACTTGTTGCTTTT